AGTAATATTATATCAGAGCTGAAGAAACGAAGCACAGAAACATAAAGATCACAGACACCAAGTTTATACACCTATGTGGTAGGAGCAGAATTTAACTTAAGAACCAGTTTTCCCCATTACCCCCATTCACCTCATGCAACAAGTATGTATTAAGCACCTACTCTATACCAGTGAACAGTGCAAAAGTACCAATCTTCATGGTATTTATACTACAGTATGCATGTGTATGGGACAGGAGAGAACAAACTAACAAGCCATAATAGTAGACAAATTTGATGCTCCGTTAGAAGGACATCTCTGTGCTACCAAACAGTGAGAGTGTAGTTGACAGTAAGGAGGCCAGTCAAGCTGATGGCATTTTAAATAGGCCGTCAGGGCAGACCTCAGGCTTCCTGCTGAGGGATAACTTAGCTAGTCTTGATGGTTTCACACGATTCTGTTGCTGTTGTTGATCTTGTCGAGTTGTATCTGGAGATCTTGACTGACTCATAGAGAACTTTAGGAATCTGCTTATTATTTCTGGTTGTTTAACAGTGGATGCATCAGGTGGTTTTATCTCGATCGGCAAGGATGAGTCAGCCTCTGGTCTCTGCTTTGCTGCCGGCAGCCGCGCTCCCTAACTCCGGGGTATTTCTGAACGTGCAGGTGTCCTGGCCAGGTCCCTCTTCCCTGCGTGTGAATCACTGGGTGGAGTGTCTGTGCTGAGGCTAGGTTGATGTCAGGGCAGGCCGATGCTGAGGGACATTTTGGAGCTGTCCCCTGTAGAAAGAGATAAGAGGCACTTCTAGAGCTCCCTGCTCTAGAAGGTTCACCACTTCTAGTAGGTGAACAAGGACCCAGCAGGCCCTGAGAGGGCAGGTGGCCCCAGACAAACCAGGCCCTCACTTGAACAGTGGTCTTGGGGATGCCTGACCAGGAATGGAGCTGGCGAGACATGAGCGACTTCTTAGAATTGGAAACCAGCTGGCCACAGGCGCACTGTGGTGTGTCAGGGATTTGGATTTAGATGTGAAGGACATACATTTCACTCAGTTGTACTCATGAATGCTATTCTCTTCAAATCACTTTTCCCCATCATTTGGTCCTGTTAAACCAGGTGTGGTTTCCATTTCTGAGATTTCACCTTTCCTTCCGGCCAGAAAACAAAATATTGCAGATGAGGTTCCCAGCTGGGCTGGCCTGTCAGACCCTGGCACAGCTGATCTTGCAGGATCTTGTTGCTGGGGAGTGGGTACCCTCCTGTCCAACTTCTCCTGAGCCCCACCTTTCTTATAAGAAGACAGCATAGGTTCTCCGAATGGGCTGACTGCATTGCAGACCCGAGTCCATTTGATTTTAGGCATTGGCAGAGCTTGCTTTGGCCACAGTTTTCTCTCTGTAGTCATGGCTTTCCAGGGAACATATAAATTACGACGCGGAGACTGGGAAGACATGATTCTGGGCCTCACTTGTGTTTGCACAGAGGAGTGACATCCACAGCCCCGCCCATGTAGGAGTCATGGGCGGGGGGGGGGGGGGGAGGAGGAGTTTCCAGCAAGAATGGACAGTGTCCAGCATGGGGTGAGAAATAAGCATCAAGGATACGTGCTCAGCCCAAGGATAGTAGAGACAAGCCCAGGAAGATTGCTCCATGGTTGGAAGCCTGTCTCATGAGCTGGGGAAGAAGGCAGCTGGAATAGAAAAGGGATCACTAAGTCAGTGATGGTTGGAGAGGAATTGCTTGGGATGAGAGATGTGTACTGACAGTAGATAAAGGACCAAACATGATGGGCTCTCAGTATCTATATTGCAAATCATAATGCCCCGAAGTAGAGAGAGTAAGAAGGAAATTGTCTGCCATACAAAGGGGGGGGTGGGGGGGTGGAAGTGGCAGGAGGGATACTAGGGACATTGGTGGTGGAAAATATACACTAGTAGAGGAATGAGTGTTTGATCATTGTATGACTGAAACTCAATCATGAAAGCTTTGTAACTATCTCACGGTGATTCATTATTATTATGTTTTTTAAAAGGGTAAGGACACATGCTTTTTTTTTTCTGGAGAAAGCATTACCAATCTGGTCAAAGGTTACTTAACTTCGAGTACCACACTATGGACATTTACTACATCCTAACCAGACATCTAAATGGATCTGTTAATCTCCTTAGAAATTTTTAGTGTAAATTTAATTTTTTTCCAGAGGGGGGAGTTGATACTTGATCAACTGGGTAGTGTTTCAGTGCAAGGGTCCAAGGATGGGGTACTGTCAGGTCTTGTGGTCAGGGATGTCAGGGCTACCCTGAATTGCTGGGGCTTCTGGGGCCACACCTAGTGGTGCTTAGGGGTTCCAGAGCTGCACCTGGAGGTGCCTGGGGAACCCTGTGGTGTCTAGGATTAAACTGGAGTCAGCCACATGCAAGACATATACTTCAACTCCTATAGTCTCTCTGGCTCCTGATTTCTTTTTTCATTAAGACACTTGGATATGAACCATTGGTCTTCCCTACACTGCAGTTCTGTAAGGCCAAAGCTGTAATGGGGCTGTGTTCTCCTACCTAATGGTTTGGTTCTAGCCTCTGCGCCCATGTCCTCGGGCAAGTGACCTAAGCTTTCTGTGGACCTTCATGTTCACCTGTAACTGGGAATTATATCAGCACCTGTCTCAACAGGAAATGGCGAGAATTGAATGAATGTATAAACCCCCTCATTTTCTATGATCATAGCCAGTTTGTAATAAGTAAATGTCAAATCAGTTTTTCTTTTGCTCTGATTGCATGAGAAAGTGATTAAGAAGGATTCAGAGTAAGAATATTGAGTAAGGATCTTACCCAAAGGCCACAGAGATGGCTCTAAAGACTGAAGTGCATGTGTTGCACGTGGGAGCTCCTGACTCTGTGTCAGCCTCTGGGTTGGGTCCCTCTACATTTCCTGGAGTGGCCCATACAATCACACAAAAAGTCAGGGGGTGGGAATTTTTTTTCTATAAATATCCTAAAGGAATATTTTAAATGCTACTAAGTAACAAGAAATGTTTAAGCAATCGAAAAAATTATTATTTTAAATAAGAATACATTAAAAAGGTGACAAATATCTCCAATGCATATAATTTAATGTATTCCAAATGGAGAAAAAAATACTGCTAGGAAATTTTTCATTGGTTCATGTTATACAGGTTGTTGCTGCTGTTCATATGTTACAATAACAATGCAGAAATAGAAAGTTGCCTTGCAGAAAAAGAGAAACTCTGAGAGAAGCCAGCTCTTACAGACAGGAAAAACACATAAAGCAGTGTAGTATATAAGTGAAAAGATAAGACAAAAGAAATGGCAAATCGGGCTTGGAGATATAGCTCAGTGATAGAGTACTTGCTTTGCACTTTGTTAGAACCCGGGTTCAACTCCTGGCACCACCACCAAAATGGGAAGGCACATACAAATCGAAGATGTATCTGTATGGAAATACAATATGCAATAAAGATGACATTTCAAATCAATAAAGATGCAAGGTCAGTAAATGGTTTAAGAAAACCAGATTTCCATCTGAAACAAAAAATAGGATGACTGCGAACTTCAAATTTCTTTTCTCTTGGGGCTGGAGAGATAGCACAGCGGGTAGGGCGTTTGTCTTGCACGCGGCTGATCCGGGTTTGATTCTCAGCATCCTACATGGTCCTCTGAGCACCACCAAGAGTAACTCCTGAGTGCAGAGCCAGGAGTAATCCCTGTGTATCACCGGGTGTGACCCAAAAAGAAAAAAATATTTCTTTTCTGCATCAATTCTCGATCACTCATTTAGTTAACAGTGAAAATGAAGGTCTCAGCTCTGTTTTCGAGAGTGGCAGCTCTTTTAGAATACTGTATTTTACACTATTTGACAGTTATGCCTACTACTCCCAGACTTGGGCTTTAGGGACCATTCCACAGTTTTCTAGTTGAGATGGTGATTGTGTAAACAGCACAGTGTGTTTACATTGCTTTATGGGCCATTATTACCATCTTTGGTACTCCTGGCCAAGAGGGTCCGGCTTTACTGCTGGTCACGAGGCAGTGTTGGTATCTAACATGTGTAACTGATTTGTCTTGGTTGTGTGCGTTGTTGGTAGTCAGTAATTATGGTGAATGATATATTTCTTTAGTATCCACTGCTTGTTTACTGAGGGCATAAAAGACATCTTTCAAGAGACGTATGTTTTTGAGCACAAAATCTTAATTGAATATTATGATCAGTTATCACTTAATCACTTAAATGCAGTTTTGTAAGCTTATTTAGGGGAGAATAAATTTAAAATAATTTTCAAGGCTGAGGAGAGGCTTGCATAGGGAAGCACATGCTAGCTTTGATTCCTGGCACTTCCTGCCCCTCCCTTCCCCTTTCCCCCACCCTATGCCTCCCTCAGCACTGCAAGATACAAGTGCTGGGGAGTCTCAGGCACCACTGGGCTAAAGCCCTATACAACCAGGCACAGACAGTGAACCATCAGGACTGTTCATTTTCCAAGGAGTTCCTGTAAATGCATTTACCTTGAAACCTGACCCCAGTTTACAATTTAATATAGAACCAAAAATACTTCAGAAATATTTTTAATTTGCTTTATAAATTGGGTTAGAATGTTAGGAAATGAAAAGTACAACATCTCAGTGACTTGATGCAAAAATGATAATGTGGATCCAAATTGAGATTATCATTTAGATCAATGCTTATTTATTTATTTATTTTTAAATGTTTATTTATTTATTTGACTTTTTGGGGGGGGGGGTCACACCCGGCGATGCACAGGGGTTATTCCTGGCTCATGCACTCAGGAATTACTCCTGGTGGTGCTCGGGGGGACCATATGGGATGCTGGGAATCGAACCCGGGTCAGCTGCGTGCAAGGCAAACACCCTACCCTCTGTGCTATCGCTCCAGCCCCTCAATGCTTATTTTAAAGCATGTTGAAAAATATGTTGATAGCTGACAACACTGCTTTGGATTATGTTGAACAGTTATTGACAAAATATTCTTTCTTTTTTTCCCCTAGACTTATCTAAAAACAGACTGGTTGAAGTTCCAATGGAATTGTGCCATTTCGTATCACTGGAGATTCTTAATCTGTACCATAATTGTATCAGAGTCATTCCGGAAGCCATTGTTAATCTGCAGATGCTGACTTACTTAAACTTGAGGTGAGTTCCCATGAATTCAGATCTGTTGAGAAAAGTTACACTTTCATTTCTATCATGTTTCCCCTTTTCAATTCATGGTCAGCCTTTGAAATAAATAATACCAAGGACATTTAAGAGATAGCCCTTAGGGAGATATTACCAGCAAGTTACTTGCCTTGTGTGCAGCCACTTAGGCCAACCCTGGTTTGGTCCCCAGCACTGCATAAGGTTCTCCTAGTGAAACCAAGGGTCACTCCTGAGCACAGAGACAGGAATTGCACCCAGAGCACCACCAGATGTGGCCCCAAAGGCCCCCACTTCCCATTTGGAAATGTTTATGATACATGAATAGTCTTCCTGTTAGATAATATTTACTGAGGACATACCAGTGGTCCGTATTGGCTCTTAGATTATGCACAACAATAACATATTAAAGCCCGGAATAACTCTGGAGTTAGGAAAATAAGCCGTTGGGGCCCGAGAGACACTAACAGTGTTAAGGCACTTACCTTGCACAGGGCCTATGGTGGTTCCATATCTAATACTGCATATGACCCCCCCCTCCCCCCCAGAACACTGCCTGGAGTGATCTCTGAGCACAAGAGTCAGGAGTAAATAAACCCTGAGCATCATCAGGTGTGGGGGGAAAAAAGGAAAAGAAACAAAGCTATTTTTTAAAGGCCCTGGCTTTAGACTTTGTTGCTATGAGTGTTCACTGCTCTGGCCAGGTTTTGGTTTCTGACTTCTATATCCTTGACTCAACTATGGGGTGCTAGGAGACAGAGTAGAGCTATTTAATCAAGTTTTATTTCTACTGTAAAATCAAGGTTCTTAAGTAGAAGCCTGAACACAGACTTCACTCATGTTTCCCTTCGTGTGAAAATGGAGCTTCTGAGCCGCAAGACTCAAACTATAACAGATACATCAAAAATTAATGGACAAATTCTCAACGAACAATGCATCATATAAATATCCCATAAAAATACCATCAGTTAGATTTTAGGTTTTAGTTGTCCACTGACAGTTATTGGTCTTTTATGGCTTCTTTTGCAAAAGAAAAAAAAATAAGTTTCTATTGCATTTCATTAGGAGTGCCTGTCACCTTGGAGTGGAAATAAAATGTTGTAGTCATAGAGGCTTTAACTTCTGTTTGGTAAATAAAATGTGTGCTACTATTAGAGTAATCTAGATGCTTGTATATATGACTTTAACTTCTTCAGATGTCTAACTTATCTGACCACTTTGAGATGTTTTCCATAATAATAATCCAAAGTATTTCTACTACAGCAGAAAGTTCATTACTTTGAAATCGTCTAATGGCCAAAATAATGGTGCCTATTACCTTTGGTTCCATGTTTCCTTAAGAAATCACTCTTCTACTCCTAACCTGCACAGGGTAAATATTCAAGAAAGTGTGCCATTGGTCTGTTTACTTACTGAACTAATCCTGTCTTGCTATGATGTCTTCACCTGAGACAATGTTCAAGCAACAAGTAAATTAATTTAACTTTCTTGTTATATTAAGTCCATACACACTAAAATACTATTTGGTATAAGTGACTCTCACTTCTTGGATGATATGAACTATAATATTCTGTAAATGTTAGACAAACAAACCAAAGTTTATAATTATGTTTCTAAAGCAAAACGAAATTGGTTTGGTGATTTTTGTTATGTTTTGTTGAGTGTAGAATAACAAATAGAAGTTTTTATCAGATTTTATTAGATTTTATCAGGTTTTATCAGATTTCATGTGTCCCAAACCACTTACTTCTGCACTACTTAGGATTTTCACTCCTTTGTATTTGTTTTTGTTTTGTTTTGGGGGTCACAGCGGGTGGTGCTAGGGCTTACTCTTGGTCTCCTTGCTGTCTGCTCAGGGCTCACTCCTAGCAGGGCACGGAAGACCATCTGGGGTGCCAGGGAACAAAGCCTGTATGCTGCATGCAAGGCAAATGCCCTACCTGCTGTACCTGTCCTACCTGCGTACTGTCTCTTCAGCCCCAAGGATTTTCACTCATTTCTACTAACTAGAAGAGTTTTAAAGAGAATAGTGTGGAGACACTACTTTTAAATTTTTTAAAAAGATTTCATGTTTCTATACCTAAAATAACCATACTCTTTCAAAAATTACATGCAGAAGTGACATATCTTGCATATTTCAAAGCAGAAGATATGCCATATAAAGCTACGTTAAATATGTGGGAAGCATTTAAAATTGATTATACTCCCTGGGGATGTATTGCCCAGTCCAGCAGATTAAGCAGCCATAAATATTTGATGTTGATGGTGATTACAATGACAGCAAAGATGTTAGTGGTAGTGATACGTTACTACACAGCTTTTTTTTTTTTAAATTTTTTTTTTATTAGTGAAACACCATGAGGTACAGTTGTAGATTTACAATTTTTTGTGCTTGGGTTTGATTATACAATGATCAGATACCCATCCCTCCACCAGTGCCCATTTTCCACCACCATGGATAATATCCCCCCCCACCCCCATCCCCCCATCCCCCCCTGCCTCTGTGGCAGGGCAATCACCTGTGTTCTCTCTCTCCTTTTGGGTGTTGTGGTCTGCAAAAGAGGCATTGAGTGGCAAACATGTTCAGTCCATAGTCCACTTTCGACATGCATCTCCCCTCCTGGGAGGGTCCTCCAAGCACCCTTTATTTGGTGTTCCCTTCTCTGTCTGAGCTGCCCTTTCCTCTAGAATGCCCGACTGGCCACTAAGCTCTGGAGTAATCCTCCTGGTGCTAATCTCAGCTATTCTTGGGTATTAATCTCATATTTTGTTACTTTATATCCCCCAGATGAATGCAATCTTTCTATGTCTATCCCTCTCTTTCTGACTCATTTCGCTTAGCATGATACTTTCCATGTTGTACCACTTGTATGTAAATTTCATGACTTCATCTTTTCTAAGAGCTACATAGTACTCCATTGTGTAGATGTACCAAAGTTTCTTTAACCAATCATCTGTTCTTGGACATTCAGGTTTCTTCCAGTTTCTGGCTATTGTAAAGAGTGCTGCAATGAACAAACAAGTGCAGATGTCACTTCGACTATACATTTTTGCCTCTCTGGGATATATTCCCAGGAGTGGTATTGCTGGGTCAAATGGGAGCTCAATTTCTAATTTTTTGAGAATCGTCCATACACTACACAGCTTTTTTTACCCCCACGGCGGGGATTTGGGGAGGTTACTGTTTTGAGTCCTACACAGCTGTTCTCAGAGCCTATTCTGTCTCTGTGCTCAGGAGTCTACACCCTAGTGGTTTTGGAGGGAGCCATATGTGCTACCAGGATTCATGCCATATGAGCCACATGCAAGGAAAGCAAACGCTTTACCTCCTGTACTGTCTCTCAGTCTACAGCCAAGTTCTTGATAGGCAAAAATCTGTAGACAGTACTTGCTCTTCTCAAATGGCTGCTTGGTGCCAGAAAACTAATTCCTGTCTTAGGCCAGAGATGGGCTTAATAAGCACTTGGGAGGAAAACAAAGTCTTCACTTGAAAAATGTAGTTAAAAAACATTTCAGTGATTTGTACATTTTCTCACATGATGGAAGTATGTGATATTTGTGGAAGTAATTAATTTTCTGCTGTTTGTATAGATGGTGTTGGAAGGATCTGAACTTTTCATCTTGATTTTTTGGTGTTCACAACAGAAGGTTATAGTAGTTTAGTATATGTCCACTGTGTCTCTTCCTGTTTTAAAGTGTCTTAATCCAAGGAAGGAGGCCAAGAACAATAAAAATGATTAAATGAGGCTGGTTCCTATATAGGAGCAAACATTTTGAACCTGAGTAAGGCAGAAAAGCTTCACAAGTTTAGATTTTACTTTAAGTTGTTGGTGATGAGATTCATGAAGAAGAACAGGGAGCTTAAACTTAACTGTAATGTTTTATCCGAGAGGCTCAGGAATAGAAGTTGCCTTTCCTTCCGAAAAGAAAAGAAAAGAAAAGAAAAGTTTTTTACAGCACTTGTTCCTGTTACTTCCAGAACTGTCAGTGAAGGTATTCCTTTCAAGGTTGAAATCCACAGTCAGTCTTCACCCCACGCCCCTCTCTCCCAATCTGCTAGGAGTGGATTCTGAGGCATTGCCTGGAAAGAAGAGGGCGTTTTCTTAAACAAAATGTTATCACACCATAAAAGGAATCTTTTGGCTGCTTTTTCTGAAGCCTGGCATCCTTTTTGGCCGCTCTACAATCTGTAGAAGGAGCCAACTTCCTTGATGGCAGTGTAACCCGTATCTCCACATTCCTTCAGGGAGGTCATTCTGATAAATAATCTTCAATCCTCACGAATGAAGCCCTCTGTTTAGAGGATTTGGGGAGGCATCCTGCACGCTAAGGTTTGCTGTAGGGAGCACAGCCCCCCCTTTTTTTTAGATTTTATTTATTTATTTATTTTTAATTTTCTATTGGTGAATCACCGTGAGGTACAGTTACAGACTTACAAAATTTCGTGCTTGTGCCTCAGTCATACAATGCTCGAGTACCCATCCCTCCACCAGTGCCCATTCTCCAATGCTGATGATCCCAGTATCCTCCCACACCCAGCCCATCCCCCCTACCCCACCTCTGTGACAGGGCATTCCCTTTTGTTCTCTCTCTCCTTTGGGGTATTGTGTTTTGCAATAGAAGTATTTCGTGGCCATCTTGTTTGACATATAGTCTACTTTCAGCATGCATCTCCCATCCCAAGCGGGTCCTCCAACCACACTTTACCTGGTGTTCCCTTCTCTATCTGAGCTACCTTTTCCTCCAGCATGTGAGGCTGGCTTCCAAGCCGTGGAGCAAGCTGTGGAACGTAGCTTTTATATGCTTATGCATGTAAACAAAAATACTTTTGCTAGACGGTTTTAATTTTGTGGCAAAGAAGCCTTCTCTTGACACCGACCTTTATGAAGGTCTGAACTGTATCTTCTTTCTAGCAATGAGAAAAATTGGCTGTCTCCCTAAACTGGGGAAGGACGACAGTTTTGTTCAGTTCAGTACTAATTTGGACTGTATACCAC